CTCTTCAAGAGGCCTGCTGTCCCTAACACAAGGAACCCACTTCCCACAGCCTCAGGCTCCCTGATCCGGTGCTGCAGCCACCGCAGGCCTTCTGTCCAGCTCAGTGCCCCAGCTCCATGCTGGCCTCAGCTGCAGGGCGGCAGCACCTCCTCCTCTGCTCCTCAGGGCAGGGGCCGAGCCCCGGCCTGCCAACCTCCCTCCCGCATTGAGCCCCCCGCGCATCCCCTTCCTTCCTCCCTCCCCATCCTGGAGGCTGGGAAAAGTTCTCAGGAACAAGGGGTCACACCTGCCACCGTTCACAAACCCCCGTCCTCCCTCAGACGGCTGCTGCAACGTGACAGCCCCCAGGTTTGCTTTGACGATCACAACCATTTCGCACGTTCTCAGACAAAAACCGCTTTGAAACAGAAGTGTTTTTTCCTATTCCCAAGTGAGTGCAATGTCCAGGAAGAAATGTGTTCTGCCACATCATGCTGTGAGAGAACTGAGGTTGTGGGCAAAGGGCTGCTCCTGGGACAACTCAAGACACCGCCACCGAAACCAGGGGTAAGCAGGGAAACTGGAGTGACAGGTGCAGGGCCCCTCTCAGACAGACAGCAGCAGGCACAGTGGTTCCCACAAAGCCCTCCACCCGCAGGATCTGATGTATCTGAAATACAGCCAGAAATTATGTCTAAAACACAGGAAAAGAGGGACACCTGCTGGACAGCTGTTGACATTACACCAAGGTTGGAAAAAGCGCAACCTACTCAGACAAGAGCTCTAACTAGACTGTTAGGGGTTGCAAACTACTCAGGTTAAAAAAAGAAAAAAAATATATAGTTCACCTTTCTTATGGGTGGGCACATCAAAAGAAATATTAGCTCTTTTCATACAGCAAAGAATTCCTAAGAACAAATTACTTTCGTTTTGGGCTTTTGGATTGGATCTGGGAGCCCTCTTGGGGAGGCATGTGCTGCTACACCAGGCCAGTGGAGACCGCGTGGTCCTGTGGAATTCTACAGCATGTTTGTGGATGTGACAAGGACCTGGAGACGGGGAAGGTGTGGGGTGAGGATGGAGACTGCCAGGTGGGTCCTCTAAGCCGCTGCAGGACTCAGCAGACTTGGGGTCCCCCAAATCCATGGGTCAGGGTGCACAGTTCTCTCCAGGGTTCAGTGCTCTGGCAGGAAAGCATGGTTTTTCGTTGAAGTCTGACAAGAACATTGCTTCTCTGCCCCCACCTTACTTCCCACCAGTAGGTCCAGCCTATGTTAGGCTGTTTTGTGATGCTCGTAACACTGGGTAACACTCTAGTATACACTGGGTGCCCACAAAGAGGTGCATTTTGGCTCATGATTTTGCTAGTCCAAGGCCTAAGGGCTGCACAAGGCAATGGCCTACTTGCTGGAAGGGTCCTGAGGTGCAGGGAATCAATGGCCAGAGAAGACAGGTAGTGTACCCCGATGACCTCAGCCACCCTAATCACTTCCCTGAGGACTCTGCTCCAAACACCAAAGGCAGAGTCAGTTTCTACCCTTTCACCAGTAGACTGCAAATGCCAACAGGAGTTTTGGAGGGAACCACATACAAATGGTAGTTTTATGTCCCCAGGCCCCAGAAATCATGTATTACCAGAATCATTCTATTGAAATAGTTCCAAAATCTTAACTTATTTGAATGTTAATTTAAAGTCCAAAGTTGCCTCTGAAACTCAGGGCAAATTCTTTTAGATACAGGTCTATTTTATTTATACACACACACACACACACACACAAATAAAGTTACATACTTCTAGGATACACTGGCAGGACAGGAAGAAATGAATCATTCCTATTCCAGATGGGAGAAGTGGAGACCTACTGAGGAGTAACTGGCACAAATCAAGGCAGCATTCGGCAGGCCAGATAGAACAGCATGCTGTGTCCAGCCACGTCCAGCATGCTGTGCAGTGCTGGGGTGGGCTGCGGATGCCCCTCCAGTATGGCTGGTTATAGCCATACAAGGATACTCTTTTGAGCTTGTCTCACTGGCTGCCTGAAGTTCTCCCCTGGGTGTGTTGCTGGCAGCTGTACCTCTCTGGGATCCTGCTTTGGTCCACTGGGGCAAGGCTCTTAACAGGTGGTAAACTTGTGCCTGGTCTCCTAGGCTTTCCTTTGAAATTTCAGAGGGAGCTACCTGACCCATTTTTTGTATTTTGCCAATATGCAGGACCAAATTCATGGAGTTACCACAATCTGTCATCTGCAAGAGCTCTGTCTACCTGGGCCATGCTTGCAACTGCTGTATCGTGCTTTGTCTTCAAAACCCAGGGAAGTGAATCGTGACGTTTCCCTGGGCTGTGAGCCCACGACAGTGCTGGGAGTGTTCTGTCCTGGAAGGGCCCTGTGCCTGCAGAGAGGGAGCAGCCTCAAAAGTCCCAACCCACCTTCCCGTGCAGGTCCTACTTTTCTCCTGAACACACCTCACTTTTTCCTAGCAAGGCTGCAGACCTCATCAGAATCAGACCTAATGCTTTACTTACAGCAGTATGTAGATTTCTGCAATCTCTTTTCACACTCTGTCATCTACTTCCACACTTTCAGGCATTTGTTACTGGCAAGAACCCCACTCTTGGTACCAATTTTATCTTGGCCTGTTTTCAGTTACCAATAACACACTACAGACTGGATAATTTTTAAATGAAATTGGTTTATTTTGGGCTATGAAACTGGATGTCCAAGGCTGAGGAGCCACACTGGTGATGCCTTTCTTTGTGCAGATGCCCAAGAAAAGGCAACACCAAGCAAGGGACATGTGTGTCTCCTCCTCTGTCCTCTCTCCCTTCTCCCAAAGCCAATCATGGGGGCACCATCTGGATGACCTTACGTAATCTTATAATTTCATGAAGGCCCTACCTCCAAACCCCATAGTTGGATTAAATTTCTACCCTCTTAACCACATATATCAGGATTAAATGTTTTGAGAATGGTTTGGAAAAGGTATAAAAAATATACTGTCATTTAAAAAAGGATTCTTTTTACACTTGAACTAGTTCCAGTGAATTTAATTCAGTCTGACATTTATTTCATACCTTTGTGAGCAGTGTTCAGGATTTAAAACTTAAGACTTGCACAAAAATCCTTATCACAAAAGTCTAAGGCACAGAAATCCTTATCACCAAATGAAAATGTGGTGCTAGAAAAATTACATAAAAGGGCAATAAAAAAGGAAGAGGATGTGACCAGGGGCTGCAGAGGAAAAACCCAGTACCTGGAAGGTTGTCAGGATTTCCACATGTAGGGCTGGAAAGCAGGATTACAGGCAGAGGGGAAAGCCTGAAGTGTGCGCTGAGGCAGGAAAGCCTCCAAGCTCCCACAATGGTTAAGTGTGTTGTGGCTGTGCCTATGGGCTGGGGCCTCCTGCACAAAGATACTTAAGAAAGAAAACTTTCATTTGGTAAATCTGAAATAAAAGGGGTTACTGTGTAGATAAACTCATCTCAGGTAAGAAGCCAAACTTGGAAAATGGTCATAGTCTATGCTGGTCTCCTTTCCCTAGTGGGCCACGTGGTCCACCTTTTAACTGCTGTACTTGCACCTCTGCTCCCTCCCGCTTCCTCTTCTAACCACGCTCTTTCTGCTCACCTGTGTCTGAGAAGAGTTGGGACTTCTGTAGGGCTGTTCCCTACCAACCTCACCACCTCAGCCAGGCACAAAGTCTTGCTTGGATGTCCAGGGCAGGAAATCGTCTGGGCCCTTCACTGCGCGGCAAATGGCGCCAGTGCTGTGTAAGTAAGGGCAGGAGAAGGAAGTTGAAAGAAAATCCAAAGAAAAATCTATCAGATAGGTCTTTTATTTTTCCTACTTTCAATTACATTTTCCATCCTTTGACTTAAGGTCTGGTAAGCTTTTACTTCACATAAACTTGCGATGCTCATGTTCAATGCTAAGAAATTTGGGCTGTAGCAAAATGTGGGAAGCCACAGGAGGCTTCTGAGTACACACTAATGGCAAGTTGTAATTAAAGGAACTCTGTAGTGGCTGACGGTGGACACAATGACTACAGAAGAGAAACACCTCGGTTTAACGAGGAACAAATCTAAGGGTATTCAGCAATCACCACGTGACCACCTCCTTCCCCCCAAAATATGCATGAACCTGGCTGGATAAAGACCCAGAGGCGTGGGAGGGGTGCCCAAGGGTTCTTCGGGCCGCCGGTGCTGGCTTGGGAGGAAGGCTACGCCCATGCGATCCGGGGAACCCGCCGCTCGGGCTTCGGGAGCTGCCGCAGCAACGGACGCGAAAACAACACGGAGGGACGAGAGAGGCCGGAAGGCAACGGACCACGGAGGGCGAAGGGGCGCAGGCCGCATCCCAGGCGCCCAGGCGCTTTGGGGGCGGCCTGAGAAGCCGCTCGGCCTACGCCGTCACTCCCACTGCCGACCCGGGGGGCCCGGGGACACCAGAGGTCCCTCTGCTTATAAACCTCGCACTTCCCCTGCTGGACGCGGGTCCTCTCAAGCCAGGGGACGCGGAGTCTTACGTCACTGATGGCTCCTCCTCCACGGCGGGGAGGGGGACCTTGGTGTCTATAGAAAGCCTGTCGCACAACGAGTTAGCAGTAAAGGGCTACCCGTTGGCACTGGAAGGAGCTCCCCTCCTATGCTTCTGAGCCCT